AGGGAGACGGTCTCTCCGCGAGTCTCGGCGTCCACGCGAGCACGTCGCGCCGTGCGACCGCCGGCGGAGCGAAACGTCGGCGTCCCCGCCGTCGGCTCGACGTGCTCGACGGCGACGTGAAGGCTCCGCGAGCGGGAACGGCGACAGACGGGAGTTCGCCTGTCTCTGTCTCTCTCTCTCTTGCTCTTTCGCACTCACCTGTCTTCATGAATGGCGTGTGCTCGAACGCAGCGGCGCCCGGGCGCACTTGCGCGGCCGAACGACGTGTCCCTCCGTCGTCGTCGTCGTCGTCGTCGTCGTCGTCGTCGTCGAGCGGGCGCGCTCTCTACCTCCCTCTCTCTCGCTCTCCCACCCGCGCGCGCGCGCGCTCCTTCTCTCTCTCGCCCTCGTTGCTTCCTCGGTCTCGAAGGCGACAGTCAGGACCCGTCACCCAGGAAACCGCGCGCCGCGGTCGGCTCGCAGGGCTCGCTCGCTCACACGCACGCACACACGGCGCCGGCACGGAGCGCGAAAAGAGCGGGGCGACACACTCCGACGAACCCCCTGCACTTTGTTGTGGACGGCTGGCCGGAGTAGTGTTGCTTGTCTGCTGCTACGGTCGCCTTGGCTACGGCATCACTGACCGCGTCACGCGCAGGGCCGTGCGCGGCGCGCGCGGAGCCCCGCGCGTCAGCGGGTGGCGGCGCGAAAGCCCTCTCCTCCTCCTTCCTCCCGCCCTCTCGTGCTCGGCGCGTTCCTCGACTCGAGCCGTCGTCGTCGTCGTCGCCGAGAGAACGACGATTTCTGCGTGCGCGCGGTCTCCTTCGTCTTTCGCGCGGTCGGCGCGAACGCGAGACGCCGCGCGAAATTTTATATCGACGATTCAAATTGAGATACTCAAACTGCGAAATTTGTCTTATCCGCCGCTACTCCGGTTTCTCGCGGCGCCGGAGCGAGACGTCCGCAACGCGGATGATTTTGACAAGTTATACAATCATTCGTTGGACTTGAGAAAAGACTGTAGAATCGCCCAGTGAGAAATGACTCGACGTTCGATGTCGAAGCGCTGGGAAAGATCTCGCAGAACGACGGTGTTTCGGCGCGGAAAATCGTTATTTAGCTTCCGGTTTTCAAGCAGTCCTCTTCGCTTCGAGATCTTCGGGGAGAAAAGCTTGGGTTTTCGCAAAGACCGCGGAAACGATAGATTCGAATCGGTCGACGGGACTCGCGTTTAACGCAACGCGATTTTGAAATTAGCGCCGCGAGACAGGGCGCGTAACGATTTCGTAAGGGCGAGTGTTTCCGGCCTGAAACCGCTTTGAAACCGCGAGGGGGTGGAACGCGATCGGCCGGGGCCGATAATGCGCGAATCCCTTTTCGGTCGCCGTCGATTACGTCGATGGCGCGTGGACGCGCGTCATAATGCGGCTATCCGGCGCCATCTGTGTCGCGCTCACGCACACGCTACGCCAATGACGTAACTAGCAGCGCCAGCTAGCCGCCACTCGTTTCTCTCGTTTCCAATTGCTTTACGGCTCATCTTTATTAACGTGGAATTAACTGCAATCTAATAAATTACTATCATCGCGCCACTCAGCGCTCAGGATTTCTAGTAATTTTTATTAGAGATTGTTAATGATTTTTAATTGACTTTTAGTCAATCTGCATTGGTAAAAATGGACACGAATTAACGACACCGAGAATGATTTAAAAAAAAGAGAGAGAGAGAGAGAAGACTGCTCTACTCCTCGGAAAAGAAAAAGAGAGAAGACGATCCCCACCGTCGCGGGATCGCCATCGATTTTCGCCGACTCTCCGCTCGCGCGCTTTTCATCTCGCTAAGGTCTCACCGAGAACGCGGCCCTCGTCTCGGAGGGCGATTTATTCGCCCCGAAAAAACGCCGTTTCCCCGAAGGCGCCAACGGATTGCCGTGCACGTCGCACGTTGCACCACGACCGGGGGAGAGGGGGATGTGGGTCAATCGGGCCCTTACACACCCGACGCGAAGTTGGCCGTAGCATTTTGAATCGATGATCGATGTGCGCGTCGCTCGCGCGGCGCCTGCGTCCAGCTGTCGCCTGCCAGCACTTGTCGGACTGTTGTCTCGCGAGGGCGGCCCGTGCGTGATCCGCGCCTTGTCCTGAGCGTCGTCGGGGGAAAAATGATGACCTCGTCGGAAACGTCGGAGGTGGCGAACCCGGTAGGCGAGAAGGGCGCCGAGGACTCGGCGATCCTGGAGGTGAGCTCCATGGCGGTGGGCGGGATCGTCAAGCAGGAGAGCCGCGACGCCGACTACCTGTCCAACTGCAGCACCTCCATCGAGGGATCCGTGGTACGTAGCGTGACATAACCTGGAGGACTCTCACCCTCGACCGTCTCCCCGGTGCCCCGCGGCCGTTCGCGTTGCCCTGAAAGGGAGATCGGTTAATTGTAACAGAGACAGCACCGATACACAGCCGACACGCCATACGCGAACGTTCTCAAGTTGCAGCCCTGAAGCCTGATCTACACTGTGCTCCTTGCGTCCAGAGACAGTCTACTTTTTGTACAAGCAATCAAAGTGCTTCAAGAATTAGTCGACAATTCACAGTTGTGCCATGTACAATGTAGATTTTGTCAACCTGCCGAAATTTTATAAACGTACTTACCGGCCACAAAACAGAATGTATCTAGCAAACACAATAGCTGCTTTCCTTTTACACTCAAGCGATACTGAGTCACTCAGTTATGCGAGTATTTTGTACTCAGATGTGACGTCATTAATGTGAGTCTATTAAACTCGCTAAGGCACACGGTCTTGATCGTGTGCAAAAACTCAGTTGAATCTGGTCGAATCTCACTTCTCAAGAATCAAAAGGAACGTGCATTCAACTGAGTTATGACGTTACAAGTGAGTTTTCATGTAAAAGGAAAGCAACTATTGTAGGGCGTGACTCTGCCTGCGGACCATTTGATGCTACAGATGCCTCCAAGCTTTTTCTTCCTCTCCTTCCTTCCCGCGAAGAGAGAGTAGAAGTGAACTCTGAAGCTAAACTTGCACAATTTCATAGGTCGCGTCTCCTTCCATCGATAGCTTCTCCACTCTGCCGGACCAGGAGATATCGGACTTCCAGACGGACTCGCGAGATCTGCAAGTAAAAGTGGACAATCCGCAGAAACATCTGGAAACTCTCGAGACGTATATCACATTCCGCATAACGACCAGAGTACGTACCGTTTCGTTGCCAGAGTATGATTTCGTTAATCTGGTTCTGGGAGCCGACGTAACGTAATCGTGTAAAACGATCCCGCAGACGACGCGTCCGGAGTTCGAGGAAGGGGAGTACGTGGTTCGCAGGCGATACAACGACTTCATTTGGCTGCGCCAGAAATTGGTGGACGTCTATCCGACACACATTATACCAGTAAGCCGCTACTTTCGATGAGCGAGATATACGCCGTGTGCGAGCTGCAATTAAATGAGAAACGTCAAGCGAATGTAAAATAACCGTATGGATCGAGAAGAGGGAATTACTTATGAATTCTGGTTTCGTTGCAGCCAATGCCAGGCAAGCACACGCTGCTCGCCCAACTGGATCGTTATTCCAAGGAATTTATCATAGCGCGCATGAAGCTTTTACATATATTCCTCAACAGAGTGGTGAACCATCCTATTCTCAGTTGCGACAAGAATCTCCATATTTTTCTCACGACGAAACCTTCGGTAAGTGCGACGTCGCTGTGGCGGTGCAGTGTCGATTTTTAATCTGAATCGATCGCAGGAGTTTCTTGTTCATCGGAAAAATCGCGGGAACGTCCTCGGAAAAGTGACCGACTCCTTGCAAAATATAGCGAGTACTTATACGATGAAGCAGCGTCACCTGGAGTTCGAGCAGATCCGAGACTATTGTACAGCGTTGGGCGAAAAGTTGTCGGCCATAGATAAGATCAATCATCGCATACACAAAGAGAGACAAGGTGCGCACAAATGTTGTATACATATGTACGTGGCAAAATAGCTCTCGGCTGTTTCTGACGTTGTGCACTGTGACGCGATAGATTACTTGTTGGAGCTTCATCAACTGCATCCCATATTCACGCTGTGGGCAACGTCGGAACCGGAACTCGCGCCCATTTTATTGGCGATCGCTAAGGCGGTAGAAGCGAACGCAATGGCTCATCAGAAACTTCTGGAGAACGTTCCTAACGACGAACGCGAGTACGTTTCATACATCGAGGCGGTCAAGAACGCATTGTCCCGGCGCGACTCGATGCAGATCGAATACGAGTTAACGGTCGACGTATTGGCGAAGAGAAGATTGGAAAAGGATCAGGTACAAGTCTCGCTTATATCTTCCTCTTTTTCTTTTAATCTCTTCAGATTGAAGTTTGCTGAAAAACAATGTCAAAATGTATGTAATAACAGCTTATAATTCTTCGTGATATAAATGTAGAGTCTTAGATCTTTAAATGTAAGGGGATTAATCGACACTATCTACATTTCTATATTGCTAGAAAGGCGGACGAACTTGTAGCTACATTTAATTGCACTCGTAACAGTTGGTAGGAAACACGAGCTACACGATTCCCGCGCAAGGCTGGGGCGGATCTTTATGGAAGGCGGAGTCACGCGATGAGAAATTGGAGAGACTCGGCCAGACCATCCCGCGATTAGCCAAGCAAGCGGAGATACTGCAGGATCGCGTGGAGTGCGCGAACGAGAATCTACGAAGCGACTTCCAGAGGTGGAACGTGGAGAAGCAGCAGGATCTGAAGAATATGCTGATCACGATGGCGGACCGACATATCAGACACTATCAGCAGTGCATGAACGCGTGGGAGGACATTCTCACCGGCCTCAAGTTGGACGGAATCGGATCCGACGTAAACGTAGGGCCGCCCGTTAAGATACCCGTTTGAACCGCTAGTCTCTTCGCCACTCAAAAGGATACATAGAATAAATATTCGTTTAAAATACGAGTATAATACACGAGTTAACAAAAGTCTCTATTAAATAACGACACAAAGTTTATTACAATCTAAAAAAAAAACTGATATATCATCAGCTTCGATATCATTGCTTTTGAAACTGAGTCGTCGCTTCGAAATCTCGAAAAAAAGATTGTGCGATATTTGCGAACCGGAAACTAACGCATTTTAATGACGAGAGCTGCATTTAATGTATAATACGCCAATATCAAAATTCTATTTCCGGAGAATTCGCCTTTACGATACAATAATCTTGTGATAATGTGAAAAATTAAGTATAACGCATTTGGTCCTACACGCGGGACAAATCTCGGTGTACGTCATGTACACAAGGGAAAATTTTCCGACGTTCTTCTCTTCGTTAGAGATTTAGATCATCAAATTAATTTTGGGGACCAAAGTATATCGAGGCAGTTATCGCCATTCCCTTTTCTCTTTCTTACTTTGAATCACATTACAATACATTTATTGACAATCAGTTTAGTCACCTATATCTACTAGTTACCAAAGTACAGTAGTTACCATGATAGCGTAGATAGCGTCAATGTATAGTATACAGCACTGGTAAATTTTACAAATTGGAGCAAAAACGCTTTGCGAGAACTTCGTTGTATCGTTAATTAGTACCTTTAGTCTATGCTTCTAAGTTATGAACAAGTCGCACCGCACTGAATCGATTCCACTTAGTAAAACGTGGAAACAAAAAGACGTAGCGAGAGTCCTATATGGCTTACACATTCCGTGTATCCGTTATTTATGCTCGAAAAGGAAGATACTCTTTGCTGCTAACAGTGTCGACTATTAACAATGCGGAGTATATTTCTATACATTATACGCCGCGACTCGGCGAGTTGGCAAAAATGGCGGAGTTTGTATTAATAAATAAATTATTGTTTGCAATTAAGTGCGATGACTCCTGCGTTCTTCCTCACTCCATTAAGGCGTCGTTCGTACGTTCTACGTAGTATTCCAGCGGCGTTATGTAGAACTGCACTAGATTGTCCAGATCGGTGAGCTTTGTCAGAGACTCGCCTGCAACGGATTTGCTGTTACGCGACGATTCTCCATAAAGATTCAACAAACTCCTCGGGGGGAGACACTGACCTGTTAGACTCATCTCGTTGTGAAGGAAGCGTACTGTGTGCGCGTACGGCTGCTGTATCTTCTCCCGCAGCTGCGTAGCCAGACGACGGGTCGGATTCCACAACTGACTACGAAAATTCGGTATGTTTGCGATGGTCGGCTTCCAGCATTCCGGCTTCACCTCTTCCATTGGTAACACGTCTGTTATCCTGTACTCGCTCGTGTCGATGTTCCACGTGAACTTACACCCGACCTCGTATTGCTTCCTCTCTTGCGAGCTGCATCGTAATCAATTTGTCAAAACTGTACCCGCGATGACTTAAGACGTAACGTGCGACAGTTTGTGCAAAGTAATCGTGCAAAGGAATCGACGACTTAAAATGTAGTAGGATGACATGTGTGCTTACCATTGCGTTTGGCTACATAACTCACTTGCTTGAATTTTCATTATGTGCAAACATATAATGTCGCCGGTAAGCGCGCACACGTCGATTATTTCGATATCGTAGTCGCTGCAGTGCCAATACTTTTTCTTGAACCTCGAGCAGATCCAATCTGCTATGTGGTGAGAAAAAGTCTCAATATCGAAACTCAACTGTGTTATAGAAACACATGGCACTATCTGAAAGTATTTTTCATTATCTTGGAGACACGTTAGCGTTTTATTCGCAGTTATTCTTTCACCGATTATCTCGATTGCCCAGGGAGATTCGTCTCGCGGAAAATCATATATTTCGAAAGGATAATTACCAGTTTTTCCGCTTTACTATTGCTGATCATCTGCATTTGAACATATCCGGAGCCATGCACGAGCATCGGAAGTACACACTGGTAACTTACATAGCCCCCTGTCTCTTCGTCTGCAAGCATTGCGAACTCGACGTTAATTGCAATTAAAACGTGACAATGAACTTGGAAATTACGTGAACGTTGAATGTATACCTTCCACATCTGTGATGACCGATATTATCTCGTCGTCGAGCTCTATGTAGCTTCGTTTAAAACACGCGGTGCACTTTATCAAAGGATATTGCAAGTTATTTCTAGGTACCAACGGCGAGAAATTCGGGCAACACTTGCCGACGCGGTCTCTGTGCACGCTCCCGTTGGACAGCTGATTCTGATTCAATGGTCGCAGCACACTTTTCTCGGCTGGAAAAACGCACAAGGCTCTTACTCGATTCGAACTCTCCGCTCAGCTTCGACAACGCCCGTGAGATTATACCTGATTCGGTGTTGGACAAGTCGCTGGCTACACTAATATCTTGAGCAAGATTCAATTCGTCCGACTCGCTCTGATCCGAGTCGACCCAGTGCCTTCGGCCGTTGGGCAGAACCGGCGACATTGCCGGCGAGGAGGGAATCTGATGTATGGAGCAGGTACCGCGATGCCTGAACTGATCGCGTATGTGCTTGAAAGGAACTATGTTCTCCGCGTCCTCCGTCTCGTCGCAAAACTCGTACTTCTTGTCGGCGAGTCGGCGCTTCCTGAACGAACTCAGCTTCTCGCACGTCGTCTCCTGCGCCTCGTCGGTGAACTCGTACGCCTTCTCCGCATCAAGGATGAGCTTGTGCGTCGCTCTCGTCGTCCTCGTCGACGGGGCCGGCACGGGCGGAGGCGAGTGCAGATTCGATCTCTTGCGCGGGCTCGGGTAGCGAAACGATCGGGCGATAGGCGGCGACATCAGGCGGGACGAGCACGAGGACGACGGGCTGATCGACACGGATTGCAACGGCGAGTTTATGGAAGCCACGGAGTTGTCCTGCTGCGAAGCACCGGGCTGCGGCGAGTTCGGGCGTTGCTGGCTGCTACCGCTATTACGCTGGACCGGGATTCTGTGACTAGATTCCGAATTGCGAGTGCGCAGGATGTCCGACGGCGGGGTGAGTATCGGCGACGACCACGTCATCGTCTTGAGATCAGAGGGCAATCTCTGCGGCGTCGAGCGCGGCGAGCACGACGGGTGTTTCACCAGCGTGATCAGATCGCTGCCGATGTTCAGCTCCTGCGACGTGTCCTCGCAGAAATCCTGCAGGATCTTGTCCCGCACCGAGATGGCCGTCTGCTCGACGCCGGCCGGCCGCGACACCGGGCTGCCGTTCCGGCTGTTATTCCGGCACTTGCACTCGGCCGCCCCGTCCGAGCATTCGCACGACTTAACGTTTAAAGCGCCCGCAGCGGTAGACTTACTATTTATATCACAGACATAGTCGCTTTGATTACTGCTTGAGGTATTTAATGGCAAATCGCGCCCTAGCTTATCGTCTAACTTAATTGGCTCGTCTAGAAAGTCGTGCTCCAAGCTGGACTCGCATTTCGGAGATCGATCGACGCACTCCGGCGTGCTCACTTTCTCGTCCGAGCTCTCGTACCGCTCCGCCCTCGCGGAGTAGTCCATCTCCTCGACGTCGCTCATGTCGAGCGGGATCGTGTCCGGAACCACGGGATCGTGCATGACGCTGTCCGGTTTATCGCACGCCCTCTGATTCTTCGACTTAGGTACATTTAAATCTACCCTGAGAACATGTAGGAAGTTCCCCGTGTTGACCACCACGTGATTCCAATAATTCAGGCACACCGTGGCACGAAACTTCGGGTATGGTGAGATTACTTCGTAAGTCGTGTGTACCGTAAGGCCATGTTGCAGACAGTTGCACCGCACGCAGCCGTCCCAGTTGGCGGCCAACTCTGTACGACAAGGTGCAATTAATCCCATTGCGATCGCGCTGATGCAAGTACAACATTTTACCCGCGGCTCTCCCCTGAGAAAGTACCGCAAGTCAATCACTACCTTCACCCTCTTCCTCGTACGACGCAGCAACCTTCAGGCAATCCTTGCAGTTCTCGAGTGACGGCACTGTCGTTACAGTTAAATACGCTCTATCAGTCGGTTGAAAATGTAAGAAATTTCCTGCGCTGCACTGCACTGTGCTGTAATAGACAAATAATATTACTGATTCGCCTGTTTCCTTCCGCAGCCGCTCGGCGAAATTCAACAATACACACCAGAGGCCGTGAATCACAAGCTTATTCCGCTCCATCGGCCACTGCGATATAACTATGTTCAATTCCCTATAAATTGTGTAATTGCCGAACAACGTGACTTCGGCGACCTTGCGGGCCACGCGGTTGGGCGTGAAGGCCCACCAGTGCAACAAATATTTGTACAAGGACGTGTTACTGCCGACGTCCAACGTATAGGTATACGTGAGCAGGAACTGGCCGCATTGCGTCAATCCCATAACAATGTGCCTTGCAAAACAGAAATATCTTCACAATCGGACACATTTGTCTAAGCTAGAACAGGAGGTCGCCTTCGCTTCTCTGCATTGGCGAGTCAAGACTGATCTACAATGCGCTCTTTATTAGAAACATTCTATCTTGTAGAGTCAACAAGCGTAAAACATTTTTCGACAACGTACCGTTTGTCTGCTTGCGCAAATTTTGCAAACCTATTTATTCGCTGCAAAATAGAACGTTTCTAGACGCGAACGACACTTCGTAGATCAGGCTTTAACGTCGCCTTTCGCTAACCCATTTCTCGCCAGCTCGTGTCACTCGAATTCTATCAGGAAGACAAAGTCACATTCCTCTCGTCTCGTTCTAGGCCGGACTACGGTTACATCCGATGAGAAATGGGTCAAAATTTATCAAACGTTTCTAGATGCAGCCAACACTTTGTAGGTCAGCCTTCAACATCGCTCGCCGTTTACGCTAAACCCATTTTCTCGGCGACTCGTGTCTCTCGATTTCCATTGGAAAGATAAGATCACGGGGCACTTTTGTGACAACAATCAACGTTTCTCCCGCCTAGGCTGCAGACTACGGCTGCGATGAGAAATGGGTCAGACGAGTTCTGTGCGGCGTCGAGTCGGAGCTTACCCGGCCTCGAGCGCAGACTTGGGGATTATGTGCAGGAGATGGAAGTGCCGCCACTTGGGTACAGCCATGAACAGCCTCTCCTCCGAGGCGTAATTGTGCGCCGACAGGCATCCTCTCGTCTGTAAGCAAAGATCACGCCAGTCACCGTCGCGTCACGTCCTGCGCGAAGCGGCCGCCTACGTAAGCCGGCCGCTCTCCGGCGCGCGACTCCCCGAGCGCGAAACGGACTCTTCCCGCGTACGCGCCGGCGGGCCGACGCGATTCTCCCGAGAAGTTGGAGGGGAAAAAAAAAAAGAAGACGAAAGCTCACAGCGTCCACGGAGGAGGAGTTGCCTCCGCCGCGGCGCGACGCGTGCGATGTCGCGCGAAGCGAGACGGGCCGGGGCGGCCGAGGGACCGCGCGTCCCCGCCGGGGCCGCGGGCCTCGTCGCGGTCGAGGAGTCGCCCACGACGGGCCCGCGGCCGAGGCGCCTCGGGGGCCTGTCACTCGCCCGCGGCCGACTCGGGTCGCGCGCGGGTCCGCGAGGCCGCCTACCTCCCTTATCAGCAGCTTCTGCAGGAGGTTCCGCTTGCTGCGACGGTGCGACGGGCACGGCTTGCGCCCCACCACGACATACTCCGACTTTTCCGACGTAATGTCAGAGAAACACTCGTTGCAGCAGTCCGAGGTAGTGTCGGAAGACGACGCGTCCGCCATTTTTAAATAACCTCGCTCGCTCGCGCTCGCTCGTGGTGGCGTCGAGTACGCTCGCGTGGCGCGCGCGATTGGCGGCGCCGCTCGTCTCGTCTCGGTGTGTGGCGGTGCGGCGGACGAAAGGGGGAACGCGGGGATCGCTCCGCGCCGGCTCCTCTCTCAGGCCCCCCCTCTTCCTCGCGTGTCATCGGTGGCGACGCACGGACGTGCGTCATGCGCGCGCGACTCGCACCGCTGCGCGTCCGTTGGCGACACGTCGAGCGTCCGCGTGTCGACGCGCGATCCCGCGGCTCGTCCCGCCGAGTAATCTCCTCGGGTCTCTGCTTTTTTTTTTTATTTATTTTACGAACGCGGTAATTTTCTCAGCTTTTCTTCGAGCCTCCTGTCGCCTTTGTCTCTGCGATTGTGCGTGTCGCGGATATAAACGCCCGTCGCGTTCAAATTTTGGTCGATGCAGGAGATGGCATCAGATTGACCAAAATTTGACAAATTTGGTCAATGTGACATCAAACTGACATCATCCTGACTTTTTGTTCTCCTTGGGGAAAAAACATTAATGTTGCCACTCGATTGCCCGAGTTCACTCTCAAATTTGGGTGTTTACGCCCAAATTTGAGAGTACATTCGGACAATCGAGTGTTGACACTCAAAACTCGAGTGTTTTTTCCGTAAGGGGACACGCTTGAGATCATTCCAAGTATTGTTTTCAAACGGAGGAGCATTTGCGACGCTAATCAAGTCTGGAGATAGTTAAGTTACATTTTACATTCGTAGTTGCACTTATTCCTTAAAAAAAACAAGTCTGCTACCTTCTTGCGGAGAGAAAAGAATGGGAGCAGCTCTCTTATGCTACCTCTACGTAACTTTCTTACAGTGATGTATTTAGCGCACAACGCGCGTATGAAACAATTGTAAATATATTTTACAGGTATGAAAGACATCCACGAGGACAATCAGCTTTAGCGATCACTTCTTCTGAGGAGCGCTGTGTCGCGCGTACTACAATTTACTTGCGAATAGAACAAAATGGACATCACGTTGGACGATAAACTGTCCGCGCTGCAGCAGATCAGCCAGCAGAAGCTCGTGAAGATACTGGACACCATCCCAGGGACGAAGGATCTGATAATAGAACAGAAGCTGATGAAGATACTGGACAGTTTCGTAGGCGTGACCGTGCTGAGGTAAACGCTCTTACATTCTGCAACCACGTTTTACTAGCGATCCGCAAATAATTGCGCCGATTTGTGTTTAGGCGCTACGGAGTGGACAAGATTTATAAAATGGAGGAAGGGCTGAAGCCGTCGAACAGTCAACGTATATTCTTAGTGTCCAACAACTTGATCGCGTGCAAGAGGGTCCTAGATCAAGTGCAGTCCGAGATATCCCTCGCCGGCAGACCTCACGTCGGGGTGTGCCATCATTTGTTGGTCGTGCCGTTCGTCCCGCCTGTGTTACACAGCCTAGTCGAGGAGGAAGGTCAGCCAAGTCGCGCCAAGTCACGTACCGTCTAGCTTTGTAACGGCAGATCCGTTTGTTCAGGCTTGTCCGAGCTGGTTACGTTGCGGACGTTATCCGTCGAGTTCGTACGATTAGACGGAAACGTTTTGTCCATGGAAAATCCAGTGTTCATCGACCTCTACTATCACAAGGACACCAGTCCTCTGCGCGCATTGGCGCGCAACCTGTGGTCGTTGCAGCTGATACTCGGCTCGCCGAGGCTCTCGCTCCTCCTCGGCAAGCACAGCCAGCAAGTGGGCAAACTGATGGAATCCATGGAACAGAGCCTGGGCTCGTCCAGTCTGGGAAACGAGATCGGCGCCCTCATTGTGATGGACAGGAGCTTCGATCTAGCCGCGGCTCTTCTCACGCCCGTAACGTACGCGGGCTTGCTGAACGAGGTGATGGAGGTGAACGTCGGCACGGCGACGTTGGACAAGTCGCAGACCAGATTGGATCCGAGTAAAGATCAAATATACGGAGAAGTGAGAGACACGCCCTGCAGCGACGTTTTCCCCATTTTACACGGGAAGGCTAAGTCACTTAAATGTATTGACTTTTAATCGCTTAACCATCATCCTTCTCGCTCTGTCGATATTTTTAATAACCGGCCCGCGCATCAGCCGAACAGGAGGCGGTACAGACGATGAAGCTGAACGAGATGGAGAGATACGTGTCGACGAGGTTGCAGAGGACCAGAGACACGACCCGGCAATTGGCATTCCATATATCCGCGTGCCAGACCATCACGGATACGTTAGGCTCCGAGTTCCAAGTCTTGCAGACGATCGAGAAACTGATGCTCGACTGCAGGGACCGGAAGGAATGTTTGAGCTACATCGAGAGAAATATAGGTGCACTTTTCAACGCTGAAATTAAACTACACATTTATAGTTAATTATATATACTTATATTTAGATGTATAGCGGCTGTCAGAATTGAATTGGAATTGAAATGTGATTTAATTACAGTTAAAGCCAAACACTTTTTGCAGACGAGCACGCGCTACGATGTTTGCGTCTCCTGTGCCTGTTGTCCATCACTACCGACGGTATCACGCAGAGCGAGCTTCAAAATATTCAAAAGCTCCACCTCCATACCCACGGTTACCAGCATATCCCGCTCTTCTACAAGCTGCGTACAGCCGGCTTGCTGAAGTACAGAAACGAATACATTTTACACAAACTGCCCAACTGGAGCAGCGAGTGGAGCAGCAACGCGCAAAAATTGAAGTTGTTACCCAGTTATTCCAAACGGGCCGATCAGAACGGTCGTACCTGTCCTAGCTACGTGTTCAACAACGCTTATGTACCCGCGATAGTTCGTATTTCATTCTTCTTATATTATCAATCAAGCGATGCGCAACCGTGCGATATTAACGTAATATCATTTAACGTGTCACAGGCACAAATATTAAACATCGTGTCGAATCAGGAGAAGGATCCTCGCAGCTTCGAGGATCTGACGAATTTAGCAAACTGTGCTGTAAACGGTCATCGGGGAGCGTTATCGCCAAAAATGGTTGTCATCTGCGTGATAGGTGGTGTTACCTGCGCAGAGATAGCGGCCTGTCGACTCATAGAGAAATCCACAGGGATACGCCTCGTCATTACGTCCGATACTATTCTAACGGGTAACAAACTCGTCCAGAGGATACAAAAGATATGAAGACTCGTGGCGTCCATCGAGAATGTAAAAATCTTATCTTTTCGTACAACAAATAGATAAAAGATCGTACATATTCGTTTTATGTAAATTATTACAATACCTTTTTCTGGCTGTTGTGGTCCCGCGATTGCGGGATGCAACAAATAATTCTGCATGTAACAACAAAATACGATTGCTGTTTGTATACAATGTCATCGGTATTATTTATGTATTACTGGTGCTTAAACGATTACAATGATGTTTCGATCCCCGAATTCTCATTTCGCATCATTTTAATATCGGTATTACTATGCACTTAATAATTCCGATTCTCTTCCCGATTACGATCACGATCGCGATCGCGATCGCGCCTCTGTCGGCCCCAATCCTGCCCTGGACGATTGTAACTCTGACGATCGCGGAAATTGCCTTGGTTTCCTCTTGAGAAGAAGTTACCTGCAAGAATTTATATTTAATATAAACTAGAAGACTATGCTGTATTATATCATGAGATATATCGGAAAACATACACTAAAGTAAATGAAGAAATATATAGTTTCGAAAGAAATTGGCGTTTGTATAAGCTAAAAATCAACCACGCTCTATTTATCATTGCAGCAAAGTATTCCAAATTATCTCGAGCCGATCAAATAAAACTTAAAATAATTTGAGTTGTGCTTCCTGCTTCCTTCCACTCTCACTCTATTGTCGTATTGTATTCATGTATAGCGTTATACTTTTCATTACATTAACTTGATTGAATTTTAATTAACGTACAAATTTATCTTTAAGTCAGAGTTGGTCGAATCGGTTCAAGTCAGGTCAGATCAGGGGGTCTATTACGGTTCTCGGATTGGGTGAAAATGACGAAAGTGAGCGGCTCTGTCTCTTACTAAAGGGACAGTTAGAAAGAGACAAAGCTACTCACTTTCGTCATTTTCACCCAATCCGAGAACCGTAATAGACCCCCAGGTATTTGTTTAGACTTGTTAAAAATAGCATATAAGTATATAAGAAACAAAAGCAACAATTTATTCAAATAAAACATTGTGATGAATTTGTTTAATTTTTGCAAAGGCAATTGTTTTGTGTAATTAAATTTAAACAATTTTGGTAGTATTCCAGTGGTCTCAATAGTCTCGATCAAAGATATTTCAAAGTAAGGATCATCGATAATACTTAATTCGTCTGTGCACAGTACCTTGCTTCATTTCGAAGATACGTTCGTTCGAATCGACAAAGTTGTTGACTTTATCCGTCAATTGCAGAGCCAACGATTGAAGGCGGCTCGGTTCGCTGCGGTGCATAACCACAGTTCCAGTTGGGTCGTCCAAAGATGCCTAAATTTATGAAAAGAGGAAATATGTTACACAGAACATTGCGTGAATCATTATACAACATAAAGACATTTCCAATACCATAAGCTCCTCGTTAATGATCATTTTACTGATAATCGAATGAACTATGGGCCGCTTCAACTGGAACATGTCCGCGAGCTTTGGCATCGAGATCGAATCGTACACATGCGAGTACGTGAACAGATAAGTCCTCAATGCCTCTTCCTTGATTAATCGCGTCAACATAGCTCGTACTTTGTCCGCTTGATGGAAGAGGTCCCACACCTATTCCGGTAAAACTAATTACTACATCGTATTCTAGATTTGGAAAAGAAGTTGCTAATGTAAATCTCGCTAATACCTTCGCGTTCATCTTTTCATTTATAATATAATTGTTGCATGCGGACCAATTTCCGTTACGCATCGCTTTGGCGGCAGCGACGACGTGCTCCCTCATAGATTCCGGAGGTCCGACTAACGACTGGCGTTCGCTGGATCTCAGTTGTTGGTAAAATGTCTTCGAGATCATTCTTCGTCTCGCGTCGAACTCGTGCGCTAGAATTAAACAATTTGTCGCGTGTAGGAAAACTCGCAAAAATATCTACGCAACCGTAAAAATATATTTATAATGTACTTAATCTTACCAGCCATATATGGAATTTCAATGAGCATTGCTGAAACAAGGTATACACACTCCAAAAGTTCTAGATTAATGTGCATGTGGAAAGGCATCTGCCTTTGCTTTTCGATCTTCTCCTGCTCTTTGCTACGCTCGTGCTGTCGTTGCGGGAGCAGACCTTGCGCCAGAAGTTCCTTCACTTTGCCCGTCACCATCAAATCAACCAAGCAGTTGTGGGAATCTTTAATATTCGCATGACGGAACGCACATAGTCCTAGATGGGCTATCGTACGATTGTATAGAATCTAGAAAAAGCAATAAAATAATTAATTTTCACATTTTTTCATAGAAAAAAAGTAAACACAGGTGCACATTCAAACCTGTGTAGCAGGATCAGAATGTTGGATAGTTTCCTGAAGATGTGACATCAGAATCAAATCGCGAGCTTGGAACCAGTTGTCATGAAGAGCATGGTGATAAATGTGCGAAAGAATCGCGCGAGTTCTCAACCGATCGGTGTTATCGTGGGCGTAAACATATTTGCATAGTTTTTCCATAACCTGCACGGACGTGATTACCTCTGCTCCCAGTTCACCCTAAAGCACATTCAATCATTGAGACAGTTCAATAAACCGGGAGAATCTTACAAGCATATAAATACTTGGCAAGATTTACCTCCTTTTGTTTCAGAACATTCGAGTCAAATTTGTAATACAAGTGCTCGATTTTACGAAGGTACACGCGACAGAGCTCGGACACAGTTCCTTGCCTCTCCAAATACTCTTGTACCTTATCAATTATGGCAGCAACTTGCTTCTCATCCTTCAATCTGTAGTAAGTAGATTTTGTTGAACAAAAAATAATAACAAGTCGTAAGTATGTCGCTCATAATTTCTCTCAAAAGTTACTACCTTTCCACGTATTCGTTGCTGTGTGGATCGCATTCCTTCAGCAGCTTTGTAAACTCCTCGTCGAGACGCTCTACCAGCGTCAACACGCAACCGTGTATCTTGTACGGCGTCGTTTCGAACTCCTCCATTTCTTCCACTATTGTTTCTGCTATTACCATGTCCAAGTTGCTCAGCAACATATCCAGCATCTCGGTAATACGCTCCAGTATTCTGCGACAAAAATATTTATCTACTTAACACCTTGCTTATTTCAAATCTTATATTTTAGAGAGCTTATAAATTGTATCTAGATATGAATTTCACACCAAAAAAATACGTACTTCGACCAATACTCCGGCTTCATAGCGTCAGAAACCTTTGGATTGTAATCGAATATGGAAGACACAATGGAAAACTTAATCTTCACGGTTACAGCCGGGCCGAGATTATGCGCGTCGGATATCAGTTGCAGCTCGTGCAAGAGCTCTATTTGCTCGCGTCTGTCCGTACGCTTTTTACCGCGAGCTGCAATTATCTCGGAAAGCTTCTTCAGCACCGCGCCGATATTAATCTCTGCGTCCTTGGCGAACATCTTCGGCTTCTCGGAGGGAATAGCCACACCGCCCTTGACGGTTTCCCACTCTCCTTCGCCGTCATCTTCGTCGCGTTTCTTCTTTCGGTCCTTTTCCTTGCGTTCTTTACGCTGCTCCTTCCTCTTCGCTTTATCCTCGTCGTCTTCCTGGGCTCCTGAAGCTCTAAAAAAAAATCAGTGTCATATAATGTGTCGCTAAATTTATTACTTTTCACTAAGTAGAAAACAATTTTATCACAGATTAAAGGGACATACTTCTTGATGAAACGCTCGCGAATATTCTGATATTGGCCTTCGTCGTCGCTACTTGTGCTCTCACTGTCGGAATCGCTGCCCCAGTCAGATTCGCTCTCGCTGCCGTCTTCGCCATCGGTCACAGTCTTCTGCAATGCAGCAACGCAAGGAAACCGGTTAATAAACAAATTATCTTGATCAATTCCTGGCGCTCGGGACTCTCGATCTTATAGTATACCTTGAACTTTGACACATCAGGTTCACTTGCTTCCGACCCCGCCTTCTTGAAAGCTATAGCGCTGTCCTCCTCTTCCTCAGATTCCATAAGCTCCTCGGCTGAAACGGAGATAATTCATTCTCTTTAGTCTTGGAAAGATCTGAACCGAAACGCGGATGATAAACATGTCTCATGGCAATCAAACCTTTCTCTTCTTCCTCGTCGTCGTCCTGATCGGGATTCTCCCTAAACTTGCCAATGTCCTCCTCAAAGTCCTTGTTGTACTTTCGCAGCTTCTGACGCAACGTCGAGAGCGACTTGGAATTGTTCTTGGACATGTTCTTGCGCCCGTCGCGGTCCTCCCACACCTCGTTGATGAAATCCTCCATCTCCACCAAGCACCTAACGTAAAATCGCGGTGTCTGTCCGAGCTCCTCCTTCGTGATCACGGGCAGAGCCTTCTGATAAGCTCGCATCAAGTCCTCGAAACCTAGAATCGCGAGAACAAGCACTCGTTACGACGGGGGCACTCGATCGTACCAACAGATTTAAAAAGGAAATTAATGACATTGGTACTTAAAAAAATTAACAAGTGAATGGACTCTCGAAATTAAAAATTACAGAGGTTTTAGGCTACGAGAGTCAGACGCGGTTACTAGCGCGCGTCGATATAATTATTAAAATATAAGTCTTGATTGACAAGTTCCGAGACGTGCGGTAACCGAAACGTCAGGAACACGTGATCGAGAAGTTTATTTCAATAATTATATTATATACCGCGTTTGACTCTCGTAGCCTAAATCCTTTGTAGCTGATCCTTCGTACTCGATCCACGCCGATCTGGTTCTCCGTCGCAGAAAACGTGACGGAAGACTTGCGAGACTGAAGTAACTTACTGGTCAACATGCTGCTCATGTCCTTGATCTTCTTGTAGTTCCTGATAAGTTTTATAAGATTTGCGATCTCCTCGTATCTCTTCTCCTTCGTGGAGCGCACAACGCGCTTCGTTTCTTCCTCGTCATCGCTGAACTGTGTAAGGAGACACCTTGCGTTATTTCGATAATACACCAACACGCCAGGGAAATGCCTGCCGACGGGAGTACGTTGAAAACTTGTGCCCGGGCTACGGTACTTACGGTGAAAGCTGTCGCGGGCGCCCTTGTCACCTGCTCCTCCTCGGACGCGCTATCGGACTCGGAATCCGAGCCAGTCGCGAAGAAACGGCTCATGACTGCGGAGGTTCTGTAAACGAGCAAGCAAGGTGTAAGAGGCGACTGGTACACTCGCTAGTTACGTCGCACCCACGACTCCAAGAATTATGCGCGACGCGACGAGATTACGCACAGACGCAGAACCGAGTCAAGCGTGAAATACGCCGGAAACCGTTTGACAACGTCGTACGTCTGGAAAATATCGGGCGCGACGTGGCGGAGTCAGCGCGTTTCCACGATCTTGGACACATGGGCCGCCTGTTCAACGTGCGCCCGCGCGTCCCCCCGATTCAATGTACGGCGCGTACGCAAAGGCGCGCAAACCGTCGGAGAACGCGCGCGGAGCAAAGGCGACGCGAGGTGCGACCAGTACACGAAATTCCTAATTACCGATTCTCTTCCTCGTGAAAGCAGACGCTGCGAGGTTATGCACTCCGCATGCGGGCGGTCGCGGCGGCGAATGGGCGGGTCACGTGACCCTGGGCACCGACCGAAGCGCCACGAGGAACATTTGGCGCGCGATTATGAACATACTTCGACGATCGCAATTTAATATCAATTTCTTTATTTATTATCATACTGCTTTAAACGAATATGCGGGTATTCACGACATGATGTATCTGGGGCGCGATTTTTCAATTGATTCGAAAGAGAAACGTACGCGAAAATCTCGCAGAAAAGTGAAAAGTCGATTGGTTAACAGCGAGGGGAAAACCGTTGAGGGCATTGTGGTGTACAGATTTGCGGCATTACTGGGCATTAGTTTGGGGGTTACGAAAATAAACAAGTCCCCGCAAGTTTAATGTTTCGTTGGCACCTGCTCAATCGTGTATATGCTACTTGAAAGTCACAGTTACAGTTTCGCGATACGGAACGTAATAGGTAGTCGATGCTGCCAGATAAAGGAAGAGACGGGCAAAGGTAAATGCAATAGAGTATCCTTGCGACCAGTTTATAAAGATCTGTTAATAAGTTATTTAAGACTATAACGTGACACTTGTAAAATTGAAGTTAATAACTGTATCAGGTATCTTACACAACACTATACAGAAAATAAGGATAATGGAAGGCTCTGAGAAATTTAAAGATACGGCTGATAAATATAGTTGTGCAGAACCAGGTATTTTAGATATTTAATTAAATATAATGAGAAGTATTTGTGTAATTGGTTAAGATGTTTGAAATACGTAACGGCTGTGCATACCTTTAGAACTTTATATATTACATTAGTTTTATATTATCTTTATCTAATTTATAGTTTTCAAAATTACATTATTCTTCCCCAGTTTTAACTAACCACATTCTACGTATTTTCTTAAATGCATAAAATATAATACAATATATTGTATCATAGTATAAAATTCTAAATATTGCTTGCTTATGACGATATCATGTGCAATTATTACAATAATTTTAATTATAACGCAATACCAATTTTGCCAAATACTTATGCGTTACATTTTTATCGTTACTTATTGTATATATTGTATATATTTTCTAATTTCTGTATCTTTACATATATATATATATATAGGCTCAATAGAAAAACAATATTAAATGTTAATTTAAGGCAATGTGAGCCGTTACCTGATCGACGGTAATAAATGAATAGTATACGTTCATTTTATTTTACATTAGTTTACATTTTACAATAGTAAACGTTCAAATTGTTTTAATCCTTTATATAATATATGTATCTACAAGGATTTTCGTATACTATTCATTTATTACCGTCGATAAGGTAACGGTTCACATTGCCTTAAATTAACATGTAATATTCTGTATCTTTCTCATTATCAGAATCAATGCGTGTAACTTCAATATATTTAGATTTAAAAGTGGATTTTAGTGAACAAGTTCTTGAAGGAAAAGCGCTTTTGACTATAAATAAGGAAAGTTCAAGTAACCAAGTTGTGAGTAGATAATTCCTTTAACCTGAGCGAAAGGTTTAAATTATTATTAATATGTAATACATATTGAACAATTAGATTTTGGATATCGGCGACCTCATTATAGAAAGTGTAAATCTACCAATTGACACTGTACCAGTATACCATGTCCGCAGTTATACCAAATTGTCTGGTCAATATGGAAATCTATTAATCATAAAAATACACTCTAATGAACTTCCATACACTGTGTAAATATATTATATTTTTCAAAAAGCTGGTTACTAAAAATTAAGGAGTTTAGTGGAAGAATGATTTAAGTGGCTTTAGGTTTTCCTAAAAATGTTACTCATTCGAAGACATAAAATTAAAATTTGTTTCATATTTATTCATTAAACTGTAAGATTCACAGTGTACATTTAATAGATTTTGCTCTGTTGAATATAATTATAAAACTTTTAGCTCAGCTACTATAGTATATAAAAAAACAACTTATGTCTACTTAAATCATCCCACCTAATAAATTCCTCAATTATTGATGCATAAATTGATGCAGCATATCCATAATAATATGATAATTTTAATTATCTAAATGGGACTAAAAGGACGACTTATCAAATTGAGATTAAATATAGAACAAGTAAAAATTCCAATGCATTGATTTGGCTTACACGTGAGCAATCTGTCGATGGTACAAATCCTTTCCTAGTATCTAACACCAAGGTAAACTAGTTACAAAAACAAAGTAACTTATGCACGTCAACGTGTGTTTAAGAAATTTCAATTTTTCTAGTACGCATATGCAAGAACGTTGTTTCCATGTCAGGACTCACCACGTGTTAAATTTAAGTATTCTGCTAAGGTAATAATTTAAACAAAGCAATATTTACAATAGTCAAGCTTTATAGTCGACATTAACCGACCAATGTTTTAATACAGATAATTTATTGCGAAAAATATTACCTCAGCCAGGGTATGAACCTGGACTTCCCTACTCTCTAGGCGGGCGTCTCATCAATTCGACCACTGAGGCATGTGGTAATATTTGTCGCAATAACAGTATTTATATGGATGTTGTTCTTATTTATCAAAATAAGCACACATAGTAATGTGCGACTATTTATTTTAATATTATACGTAAAAGTACTATAATATTAAGTTTGCGGAAGATTGTAATGTGTTAATAAATTGAAATTTACATGTACTTTCAATTACATATACGTATGTAGCTACATCTTCTCTCATATATTACTGTAGTTAAATTAAAATAAAATGTCCACTTATATTTCGTTGACACGTATTTGGAACTTTTCAGATTACCGTGCCAACAGGTTTCACAGTTGTATCATCCGCGCCTATGACAAATTCATTCCACGATGAGGACGAAAGCATATTTGTTTTCGACCAACCGAGACAAATACCACCTTATGGAGTAGCTATTGCCGTGGGTCAATTAGAAACACAAAAACTTGGTTCGAAAAGCATAGTGTTTGCCGAAGAGAAATATATTGATCAAAGTGTCAGAACGTTTGCAGCTTTCGAAAGTATCTTACAAATTGCCGAAAGAATCTGTGGCCCATACTGGGGTAAAGTGTCAATTAAATTTTATGTTTTTGGCTATCACTTTTCTTTCTTTTATGTTCTCTTATCATATTAATATCATGTTTTCAGATCTATTTCAAATATTCGTGCTCCCATCAAATATTCCCACGAAATATTGTGAAATATATCCAAACGTGATATTTATATCACCGGCTGTACTCGACGTAGATATCTGTTTAGTTACTTCACTTGCTAAGCAAATCCCCCTTATGTGGACAGAATATTTAGTTACGCCTACCAGCTATTTTGATTTCTGGTTAAGTAAGAGTCTCGGCCTGTACATTTATACGAAGATTATACGCGAAATGCAGATGAGTGACAAAATAAAGCAGCATCACATTGATAAAGAAATACATTACTCGCTGAAAGAGAAGGTAAATATTAATTTTAAATTAATTACATAAAACGTATATAGAACAATAAATAAAAAAAATTAATATTGGACACATGATGCCAATTATACAATATTTTGCATCACACATTATCTATAGGTGACGCGTATATACACTTACTATTTATTTCTGAAATTCTATTATAGATTGACAAGGAATTATATAAAAAACACAACTATCAGTTCGTACCCCAACTGACAGATATGTCGATTCAAGATTTAAATAAATCTCTTAAGGAATGCGTGCCTTATGAAATAGGATATCTGTACTTGGAAAAAGTGGAGTTCGAAGTAGGAGGAGCACAACTCTTCGAGTCATATCTTAGACATTATTTTTTTTCTTATGCGGGCTGGAATGTAAATGCTGAAAATTGGATACAATGCTTGGAACAATACTTTTTGGAGAAAAAGGAGGTATCACATTTTTTATATCAATAAATTACAGTTTCATTATTCGTATTAATAGTTTTACTAAATTATAAATAATGACTTTTATGTTGTTTTAGGAGTTACATCCTATATTGTGGTTTACTCCGTTGACGACAACAGATGTACGAAAGTATTCAACCGTTTCGAAAACTTCGATGGAAACTTTTAGTCTCTTCTTAGCGGAAGAATGGCTAGAATGGACTTGTCTGAGTAGCGGTACACCCCCTAATTTCCAAGGGGCAGACTCTTTTTCTGATATTGAGAAGATATTCATTTTAAGAGACATACATGATTTGATAGTGGCTCGGAAAGAATGTGAAGATTTGAGTGGCCTCGAGATAGATAAGCTGACAGATATTTTGAAGATCACGAACAACAATTATGAAATATGGTAAATATGAGCATCCGCGTTCAGACTAATTCACAACGGCTTAATGCGCATGTATACTTACCAGGTTCTATTGGCTATGTCTGTGCATCGCAAATCGATGTTCAAACTCGGTTCAAATCGCTTTGGATTTTGTTACACAATATTGTTGGCCAAGTTATGCACGTCGTATATTTAAAGAATTGTATGATTGGCCAGAAATGCGTGAAAAAGCGATCGCTGCGTATAATCAGTGTAAGATAAAGTTTCTTCCCGAAACGCAAGAAGAAATACAATCGATTTTGCACCCATAATAATATTTAATATTTATGAGCTATGATGTAAAATATTTTTTTACGAAAAAAATGCTTGGCGGTTTTTAGATATAACAAATCTTTTATACAAGGTACTAAGTAAGTTTTGACAATGTAATTTAAACCAACGGTACACGATACTATTTTTCCTACTAGATTGCTTACGAGAGCCAAACAAGATGTATAGTTTTAGATCAGGTAACTTGAAGCTAAATCCTGGTTGGCTCTCGTAAGGAATTCAGTAGGAAAAATAGTACCGTGTGCCGTTGACTTTAGTCTATGTACCATAAATATAATATCTGCATAAACACTTAAAATTTTATTTCTTTTATAAAATGGACCATATGTTACTTCTACCAAATATTAGCTCGTGACCGGGAGATCATATTGTATGTACATACGAGTAGATGTACGTAAAGGAATTTTCAATGCTCCCCTTTCTTGAGTAATTACGTTAGTTTACCTGACACTTTATTCTTTTGATGAAAAAGATCTTATGTACAATAATTCTACAAGTAAAAATAACATTATACATATTCTCAATTTGAGAAAAATTCATATTGTAGATATATCTTTTATTTTAATGTGTTCAGTTTTTATTTTATAAATTTTTATCCACTTTCTCGAATCACCAAATAGGGAATGTTAATACATTCTTCCCTACATATTATGTAATGAATTAAGTAGTTTAGTTATATCTAATTTGAAGAATAAAGTTAAATTTTGCGGTCGCAAATATTTTATATTTTATCTTTTACTAAATGTGTTATTTAGATTGTAGTACATTAATTTTCAACATGTAAATTTTTATTGTGTTTAGTCTCTCTCTCTCTCTCTCTCTCTCTCTCTCTCTCTCTAGTTACAAGTAACGAGTTAAGCCTCCGCTACAATGATTCTCGGTTCTGTCTACAATGGTCGTAGTCGTAAGAATAATCGACTGCGATTGGTCAATTCTTATCGAGCGACTACGACTACGACCATTGTAGACAGAACCGAAAATCACTGTAGCGGAGGCTTTAAAGGCCATTCTACAATTGCGTAAACGTGGTTGTTATCGGTTGTACAGTGTTGTAAAACACAGTTTTAAACTAGCATTTCCGATTGTAAAGCCTGTTGTGAAAGATGGCTGAGCTTCATCTTTCACGACTACAACGATGTAGGACATAAAAGCTAACCAATCATTCACTTTAATTACGACGTATCTCACTCTATTGTATATTATTTTGATGTACAACACTTACTACTACTTCTACTCCTACAACCCTACAACCACATTTACGCAATTGTAGAATGGCCTTAATGCTGGGTCTACAACGAGAGTCGCAGTCGTAAGAATAATCGACTGCGATTGGTCAGTTCCGTCAGGCACATAAGAATTGACTAATCATAGTCGACTATTCTTACGACTGCGACTCTGCGACTCTCATTGTAGACCCCGCATGAGCGCTCAATGATTTCTTAATATGATTGGGGGAGGCCCAGGTTCGAATCCTGGCTGGGGTAATATTTTTCGCAATAAGAATTTTCATTGCCAGATACGGTCAATAAAAATCACTGATGTTATTAATTACTTCTGGCGACTTTTAAGAATATTCTTACTAGTTTGTCAAGTAACTTTCCCAACTCTGCTATTAAAGACCGCCAACCCTCGGTAAACTTTCATGACCATGAAACGGGCCGCGAGGCCTGGAGAGGGGCACAAGTAAACATTAGAAATTTACCGGTCCTAGGTATGACGCCGGCTGAATCGAGAAAGTCTATGGACTCAGGTACCACTTTTCATAAAAAGAAGAAGAAGAAGAAGCATTTCAAGTCAACGCTCCGTACGTACGATAGGCTTCACCAAGTATAGCTTGACCGTGCTTAGAATTCGCACACTTCATCGAATTCATCCTGTAAATCCGTGACTTCACAATGCAACGGAGACCGCGCTCGCCGATTGTAATTCGTCACTTGATGGACGGACTCACGCCGTTGCATCTGGCGGTGTACAACGGGGACAAACACTTCGCGACTGTCCTCTTCTTGGACAACCGGGGTCAAGCGATGGTCGATCTGGGCAACAGTCGACAGCAAACGCCGTTGCACCTGGCGACTTTGCAGGGACACTGGTCGCTCGTCGAGCTGCTGGTGCAGCACAACGCGAACGTCGGCATCGTCAACGACAACGGTGACACCGCGCTGCACATTGCGATAGCCAAGAGCCTGGAACAACAGCCTACCGAGCCTGGGCAGACAACATCTCGGTCATGTTCAGCGCGTTCCTCTCGATCGCTTCGTGCAACGCCGTATTGCCGTGCGCATTCTGGAGATTGACATGGCATTCATACCACAGTAGCATCCTCACACTGTTCTCGTGCCGCTTGTTAACCGCCACATGTAGAGCGCTACATTTGCTGTCGTTGACGGCATTGATAGCCGCGCCACGAGACAACAGCAGCTCCATTATCAGCAGCCGATTCCTGTGTAATCGAAAGAAAGAACACGTATGTAACTGACGCTGAGGAAGATCCAGCAACCATTTCCAACGTACCCGAATGCCGCGTAATGCAACGGCGTATTTCCATTCTTGTCGGTCGCGTGCACAGAGGTCATGTCGGTGTTCAGAAAGAGGGTGCAGAGCTCACGCCAACCTTGGCACGCGGCCACGTGAAGGTACGTTTCCCTGCCTATGAGAGTACGCGCGTTCACCCCGCTAGGATAAATCTCGGGGAATTCTCGCTTCACATCCACGCCTGCCTCGCTTTTATCCGCGTCCTTCAACAGCTCCTCCACGTCACTGTACGTACCTTCGGCTGCGTCATGAGAACAAATTAAACATACTATCTCGTTTAAAACGTAGCTAAAATCATTCTCCTTTTAATAGCAATTCGACATTTACATGCGATACATTTCTAGCGCTAACAAGTTTGTAGAGGAAAGTTGTATATTGTCAGATAAGTTTCTAATATAAAATAGCAGGTTTTCAACACCCAAATTCAATCACAAATCTTTTTTCGCAATGATTACACAAGCTAACAATGAATTTCGCTCCAAGGGCAATGAATTCATGGTGGAATCAACTAATGTTGCCTATTAATTTAACAGAAACCCTGCTATCACATACTGGGATCCTATCTCGTGATAGGGTACTTTCCTCTATATAATAAATAGAGACGTACTCGAACGACTCCTAGTCTCGTTCGCATTATCACGCGTGACTGGCGTGGTCACGTTCATGCCAGAAGACGCCGGCTCGAAGTGACTGGTCGCTGGCTTGTTCTCTATCCTGCAAAACGAATACTTTTACGTATATTTGCTGGTGAACTGTAAATCATCACAACCAATTGAGTGATTCTGACGGCTTTGCAAGACTCGCCTTCAAAATAGAAGATCATCTAACGTCGCGTTTCAGTAAAGTTAACATTTCGCAGACTAGACCTGCGGGACTGTGTGCTCACATTCTATAAACAAATATTCGTTGTCTTACTCTAACTGCGTGCTGTGACCTTGGTATTTGTAAGAGCGTAAAAGATCGGCGAGCAGAGCGGCCTGTGGAGCGCCTTCCAGAAGATTGAGCGGCGTCTTCTTCTGGTTGTTTCTGGCCTTCTCGAGGAGTGTGCCACTTTTGTCCACGCTTACCAGGAAGCAAGCCAACGCCAATTCAGTCTTTGCGCCTTGCCTCGCCAGCTTCTGCCAGATCTGCCCGAAGAAGAAAGACGTTGTTCATTAGAAAAATTTATGTACATATATAGGATTGGTCCACGTATTCAACGCAAGAACTTGGACGACATACGGCATATATCAGCGGTGAATCCTGCCTACATTGGAGTGTAGGCTCGGTAGGCTGTTGTTCCAGGCTCTCGGCTATCGCAATGTGCAGCGCGGTGTCACCGTTGTCGTTGACGATGCCGACGTTCGCGTTGTGCTGCACCAGCAGCTCGACGAGCGACCAGTGTCCCTGCAAAGTCGCCAGGTGCAACGGCGTTTGCTGTCGACTGTTGCCCAGATCGACCATCGCTTGACCCCGGTTGTCCAAGAAGAGGACAGTCGCGAAGTGTTTGTCCCCGTTTACACCGCCAGATGCAACGGCGTGAGTCCGTCCATCAAGTGACGAATTACAATCGGCGAGCGCGGACCCGGTAAATTTCTAATGTTTACTTGTGCCCCTCTCCAGGCCTCGCGGCCCGTTTCATGGTCATGAAAGTTTACCGAGGGTTGGCGGCAGGACGAGAATGATTGGCGCGCGCGGTGATTCACCTCTGTGCTTGGGCACCATACTGACACCGTGCCGTGACGGCGTGACCTATGACGTCGACGACCGTTTTCGTAAACACTGCGCAGCGGCGAGGCACGCCTGGGCCGCCTGGCCGCCGGCGGTTGTTTACAAAAAAGTGAACGAACGCAAGCGAAACAAAAAGGTGTACGAAAACAAGCTCGAGCTCAACTGTTATGTCCACTATGCGAAATCAATTAAATATTCCGTTCTTCGTATTTTGTCGAATGGTCTGTTCTCGCCCGGTGAGAAATGACGCGTCGACCGATGTCGAAACGGTGTCGCGTCAACACCGTCGAAAACGATGTCGAGACATTAATTTAGTAACATAATAAAATGTTCCCTCCGAATATATTGGACTTGTCGGCTATTTTCAGGTGGAAAGCATTCCTATGGCTGACACGAGACGCGCTGTTAGGTTAAGTTAGGTCGGCGACGTGCGGCAGGTTTGCGCGGGAACGATAATTCCGCGACGCAGGCCTTCGTGGGATTTCAGATCGACGTGACAGGCACTTTAGATCGGCGTGCACAGAACACGTCATACGAAAACATGAAGAAACGCCAGTTGTCACAGAAGAAGGTGAGGGAGGGAAATGTGTATCGTTTCCTCGCGATTGTGCGCTTCCACGTTTCGATGTTCGCTACTATACTTTCTGTGTCTTTTACATTTAACACCCGTTTCCTTTACCTGTATTATAAAATAATATTGAACGCGACTCTTGAATTGTAAAGTCGATTCAGGAAGGAAGAGCTTGGCGCAGTTATAATTCGGTGGCAACGAGACCCTAGTAGCACGACGTATTGGCACATTATTGGAAAGTAAAGTAAATCTGGTATTCTTTATAGTATCTAGTACACATTATACAGACCGACAATCTTTCTGCGATACTGCACAATTCGTCTGCTTCTCACGTAAATTGTATGTGAAACATCTACTCCTAGATCTCGCTTGGCAAGGACCTAAACCAAAGGTCGAAACGTCGAACCCTTGCCGAAGGAAACCTTGCATCTGGAGGCAATATACTCGGTGGTTGCCACTTCCCTTCGGGAGATTCTGAAAAAAAAAAACACCATCGATGTCTGTGGATTTCTGATCTTTTCGTCCATTTGTTTGCTAAGCAGCGTACATTTCTCTGTGCCACACACGCCACCCAGTATAAATCTAATATTATATAATTATTATTGTGCAATCTTTACGTTTATTCCACGGCCAATATTGGCTTTACGTTGGACAGTATCGGCGAATGCATTTCTAATGTAACCAACATTTAGCTAATGCGCTGTGCTACCAGGGTATATTTGTATTTACATGGCAAGTAGGCTAAGAAATTAACTTGTTCGAAGAACCGCTGTTGAATCTTCCCCGTTTGCTTGCAGATTTCCACCGCTAAAGACGTTAACAAGTCTCAGACAAAAATATCGTCGTTCTTTATGAAAATTCCAAACGTTGCGGGCAACGCTAAGATATCAGACGTAAAAGTTGTAGGTAAGGATAAAGTATCAAATGTTATCGGCTCGGTGTCTCAAGCCTCGATTGAAAGAAAGAGGAAGGAAAGAGATGACGAGTTTGACGAAGGATCCTACTTGAGCGTTAAGAAGAGATGCGCGAATGAAGAGCCATTGAAGGAACGTTGTGGTGCAAACACGGGCAATTCAGTATTCAAAGACGCGCCGAAAGATTTCGAGGATCCGTATAGCAATTTCAAAGAGAACAAAGGGGCGTGCAAGAAAGTTAAGGAGGGAACTTCTGCAATGAGAGGCGAGCAGATTGTTGACGTTTTGCAAAACTCTACCGGTATTAGAAGTACGAATCTCTCGAATGTTGCCAGTAACGATCCTGTTCTTAAAGGCACGCGAGAGTCGAGTAGCGCTGCTTCGAGATCGGCCCAGTCTACCGCGGAAGCGTCCGGGCACGGAAAATCCGAGTCGCGCGATTTAAAGAAAGCTGAATCCCCCGAGGACTATTGCGCGATGATGAGTGGCGACGAGCTCGACGATTTCTTCGATCAGGAGTGGCAGCCGCAGATCGACCTCACCACCTTGCAGAGGTGCAAGATAATCGACGTAAAGCAGGAGTCGAGGGTCACCGTTTTAACGGTGCGGCACACGGAGTCCGAGGGTACCGACGCCGTTGAATGCTCGGGATTCTGGAAAGACGCGCGATTGAAGATCGACGACGTCGTCACGATACAGGCGAGGAAGGATTCGCGACGATGGGTCGTGGATAACAATAACGGTTTTCTCGTGGCGCAGCCTGACCTGCTGATATCGGGCACGACGATAACGAGCGGTTTATTTTGCAACAGGCGGGCGGTGCTGGCCGAGAAGTTCAGGAAGATCGAGTCGCTGCCGGGCTTGAACGGCGATTGTTCCATGATGACCGTGGGATCCTTGGTCCACCAGTGGCTGCAAAAGGCGCTGCGGGAGAACGTCTGCGCGCTGTCCGACGTGATCAAGCTGCTGGACGATATTTTACGCGCGAAGGATACGCTGGATTATCTCTACGCGTCGGAATTGTCGCTCGTGGACTGTCGGAAACGCATGATGGAGTACGCCCCGAGGATTTTCGAGTTTATTCAGCATTACGTCAAGGGTAACAAGCAGCGGCAGCTGAGCAGTCTGAAGGACAACTTTCAAGGAAGCATCAATAGCATACAGGACATCGAGGAGAGCATTTGCGTGCCGAAGCTAGGCATAAAGGGGAGGATAGACGTGACGGCGGAGGTGAACATCAATTCGAGGAGGAGGATCATGCCGCTGGAGGTGAAGACCGGAAGAGCCTCCTACTCCGCCGAGCACAAGGGCCAGGTTATTCTCTATCTCATGATGATGGGCTTCATGGACCAGGACGTCGACGCCGGGCTGTTGTTGTATCTGAAGGAAAATGCGATGCAGGAGATTAAAAGCGGGCACAACGAGAAGAGGGACTTGATCTTGCTGCGCAACACCCTGGCGCATTATTTCTCTAAGAAACCCGAGAATCCACGAGACGCGAGCTCGGAGCCGCGGCTCGAGGCGATGGAATTGCCGGCGCCGATAAACCATCGCGACACGTGCGGCAGATGCCCCTATCAGACCCTGTGCTGCGCGTACTTGGCGCGGGAGCCGAACGCAGATCTGTCACCGTCGCATCCGCTAGCGGCGCCGATTGAAGAGCTGCGGAGCGACTACGAGGCGAGCCATTTGGATTACATCATGAGGTGGATCGCGTTATTGCAACTGGAGGAGAGCCACGAGAACAGCAACAGCAGCTTGAGCAGCGTATGGACGACGAGTCCCGAGAAGAGGGAGGAGAGAGGGACGTGTATCTGTAACTTGAAGACCACCGGCAAGGTGGTGGCGCGGGACGATAGGTACCAGCACGAGTTTGCACGCGTCGACATCAAGGGGCAGACCGTCGCGAGCGGGTCGTTCGGCGGTGCGTTCGCCAAGAACGATTATATTATTGTCAGCACGGATGCACGAGTTAACATAGCCAGCGGGCATATAATGCATGTTTCGCATGACACCGTCGCGGTCCTGCTGGACAAGGACGTGACGCGACTGTACGCACGCTCCACGTTCCACATCGACAAGTGTACGTTCACGGGTCTGTCCACGTTTAACTACGCGAGCGTGGCCGGTCTGTTGAGCAACGACGAAGCGTACCTCAAGCTTCGACGCATCGTCGTCGACAGAAAGCCGGCCACGTTTGCGGAGAAACTGCCGCGTTCGGTGGTGTCGACCAGCGCTGGGATAATAGGCGATTTAAACGAGAATCAACAGCGGGCCGTGCTGAAGGCGGTGGCCGCCCACGAGTACGTTCTGATAAAAGGCATGCCGGGCACCGGGAAAACGCAGACGCTGGTGGCTCTGATAGAGTTGCTGCAGGAGCTGGGCTCCAGCGTGCTGATCACCGCGCACACGCACAGCGCGGTGGACAACGTCCTCCTCAAGCTGCTGGAGCGGAACATCGACTTCCTGCGGCTGGGCTCGACGAGGCAGATACATCCCCTGTTGACGTGCAAGAGCGAGGAATACGCGATCGCGAGCTGCGACTCGCCGGAGGAGCTGGAGGCGCTCTACAACGGCAAACGGATCGTCGGCGTGACCTGCTACGGCGCGTATCACGCGCTCCTCAGGAGGCGCAGCTTCGACGTGTGCGTGGTCGACGAGAGCGCGCAAATCCTGCAGCCCACGGTGCTGCGGCCGCTGTACAGCGCGCGCAAGTTCGTCCTGGTCGGCGATCCGGATCAGCTGCCGCCCGTCGTCAGGAACAAAACCGCGGCGAGGCTCGGCGCGGACGAGTCTCTCTTCGTCAGGCTGAGCAGCGACGACAACACCGTCAATTTGTGGAGGCAGTACAGAATGAACGGGAGGATCATGAGGCTGGCCAACGACACGACGTATCGCGGCAGGCTGGTGTCGGGCAACAAGCAGGTGGAGAACGCGACGCTGACCGGCGCGAACATGGAGCAGGCTCTCTCGTCCAGCGAGAGGTGGGTGAGAGGCGCGCTCTCCAGGAACTTGGACGACTCGGTGACGGTGCTCGATACCGGTAGCACGTACAACTTGAGCGTGGAGCACGGGAACGAAGACGTTGCGTCGGATCAAGCGTACTCCAACGTCTGGGAAGTCGCTGTTACTCTGCGCCTCGTCCAAGTGCTCGCTGAAGCGGGCGTGTGCGCTAGAAACATAGGGATTATCGCGCCGTACAACGCTCACATAAACTTATTAAGAAAATTTATAGACAAGGAAGTGGAAGTGAATACCGTGGACCAGTACCAGGGACGCGACAAGGACGTTATACTGTACTCTTGTACGAAGAGCGTCCAGTGCGACACGAAGAAGGAGTTCGAGATATTGGACGATCAGCGACGTTTGACGGTGGCCATCACTCGCGCGAGACACAAACTCATCATAATCGCTGATAAAGTCACTTTGCTGAGGTACACGCCGTTCAAGAATCTGTTTGACGTCATCGACGAGAAGAATGTGATAAATCTGCGCGATGGCGAGGAGGACTTTAGCTGGAAAAATCTTATTCGTAGAATCGACAATCACGATAAGGAATTGAAAAACTAATCGAACAATAGTGAGAGAGACAGACTGATAAACTAATCGCATTTTGTTTAGCTCTTGTAAAACAGCATCGCACAAATATACAGTTGACGAAAACCTCGCGACATGTCGAGGTAAAAGTATGTACGAGTGTTTATACAAAAATACATTTATTTTTTCAAATTGATATATATATGCATATTCTTTTTTCCTTGTATAAATAATTGGAAGACGACTCCGCATGTTAAAATTTTAATAATTTAAAATAAGACTTGAAATTAATTTTGTGGAAGTGAGATAGAAACACATGACTTCTGAAACAAGACTGCAAATTTTATAAATAAAAAAATTCGTTGAGAGAAAGAGAACTTAAATAATCTTTACACGGAAAACTCCATTGAACAAAAGTAGCTTAGAAAATAGCAGAAATAACACTGTTTTTAGGAAATACTGAAAAAAAGAAAAATAAATAGACAATTACAAACTGGCACTTGTGCTTAAGTACACCAAGCATAAGTCCCTGTATTTCACGTAAATCACATAATCACATTTCATGCGTACGTTGTTCGTACATCACATAAGTACAGAAATTCCTGTGATAAGTTTGACGCTATATACATATGTACAAGGTAAAGGTAGTAATATGAGCAGCTGTTTGAGCACGCGCGTGACTCTCTCGCGGCTCTACTTGTTAGACTCGTTGTAAGATGCCCTGCCAGCCAGTTCTAGTAAGTAACGATCGGGATGGTCCAACCAATCGCTCGCGCTCAACTTGACGACCCTCTGCTTCTCCGCTTCTTTCACCTGCCACTTCTTGATCTCCAATTGCTTTTCCCTGCAAACGTAATAGCATCCCTCGTTATCGCGTCGCGTCGACGAGCGAGCCGCAGTGGTTCGCGAGACGTTACCTCAGTTTCGTATCGCCGCAACCCCAGACTTCTAGGCTGGCGATGCGGTAAGGCGCACCGGCGATAGACACGGAGTGGAACGACTCGTCGATGCTGATGAGCGGCGAGCGCGGATCGCTACCGAGCCGCAGGCCGTGCGGGTAGCCCCTGATACTCGTGTTCAGATACAGTATCTTCGGACCTTTCTCCATCAGCTTATAGGACGGAATCAGTTGTACGGCCACCGAGTCTTCGTCGCCCCAGTAGAGATGACTCTCTCGCCACTCGACGGCCGAGCACACGCAATACGTCGGACATTCCTCGTCCCTCTCTACACTAGCGGCTCTTATAATTAGCAGAGTGGGACCTCTGTAACCTAATACATGGTGAAGGAAGCGATTAGCCCCGGCCCCGTGCTCTCCGCTATTGTACAGTAACGTCCAATGCCTTGGACAAATAGTGCCTGTTCTTCTGGCTATCAAAGCGTGAGTTATGTCCTTCGGCGAATCGTTGGTCTACACATACACACCACGCACATAGATACGTAGATCGAGTTATGTATACAATACGTAAGGCTTATCGGCACAATAATAATTAATCCCTTTTTGCAAAGTGCTTTAAAGGCAGGGCATAAAAAGGTATCGATTATTCGTATTGTCTACCCTGCGACAACGTACCTGGAGGTAACACTGCGGTAGTGTACACGACAGCAGCCAGACGTAGCTAATCGGCAGCGAGTTCGCCTGCGGGAACTCACGATCCGACTTTTCCAGCACGGGAGTGAGTACCTCCACGGGGGGCTGCGGCTGCTCCTTCGACAGAAGCGCCTTGCCGTTGCGATAGGCAGTTGTTAACACGTGCACCACGTATCGTTGTAGGCCGTACACCAGGCGCGGACAATGCTGCCCGATCCAATTGCTCACGTAACTCGTAAACAAGCTAGTCTTGCCGTGAAACTGCAAAACATCACAAGATCTAATAATCGTCCATTTCTATGCCAATTATTCATTCGCCAAAGTGCCAATTTTAATACCATGCTCATGCATCAAGCTGCGCTTCGATATTCACTGTCAGTACTGAAAATCTCTAGTTTATGTCGCGTGCACTATAGATTCTCAATATTGGAACGCAGTCTTAATAGCGAGCGGATGAATAGTTACAATTCCAAGTACGCATTTCTTAAGTATATTGCATGAATAAATTTACTGACACATGAAACAACAACCGCGTTTATTATCTGCTGCGAGTGAAGGCACAAGCTGGTGCTGTTGTTCTCCATCGCTAGCTGGTAGCAGCACATCAGCAACGCTCGCAGCGTCTCCGGCGTGACGTTGCCGCCGTTCTTTACGTCGGAGTACATCTTTATGTAATTCTCCAATATAGCCTGGTCGTTCATCACCGACAAAAATTTCTCGGCCTGCTGCTTGAAGGCCGTCGTACTTATGTACGCGGTCGTGGCCTGGGCGTTGTGGTGCAAGTAAGTGAAGAGTTTCTCGCTCAGCTCGGGATGAGTGGGAAATAAGTACTTTTCGAACACAGACTCGGTAATGCCGTTGACGTGCTCCTCCTGGTAGGCGAGATGCGACAGCGTCTGCAAAATATTTGCACATCAGTTACATATATTGGAATTAATTTTCATACAAGGGGCACAAATTGCTCCTATACTTGCGTGAAAGGACACGTTAAACGCAACGGCGAACGAACACGCTCCTGAGCGACATAAATAATTCCTGTGCCTTTGTTTGCGAAGGAAGATTACACACACTTGTCTGTTATATAAATAAAACCAGCCAGGTAATGCTAGCATCTGATAACAGCTAGTCACGTATGAGATATATATGTATAGCTTCTAACCTACATGCAGGAAGCAGTACAATGAAATGTAGCGAATGCGCAAAGTTTTCGGATCCCTAAAATAAGAGACAACTGGAAGGGCAATCGCTCGGTTCTCCAACTCCACGACTCTTTCTGAAACTCTGCAATCTCTGAATAATTTGCCATACGTCGCTCGCAGTATCGAGCGTCTTTACAGGAAAATTAATTACCTGATTAAATCAATCTCTGTACTACCGCCAAAGATCCCGGAGTTCAACAGTCAATTCAAGGTTTCAGAAAATATGCCAGGAAACATACTAAACGATAGAAATTCAAGACAGTCGCGCGAGGTGAAGCGAGCCGCAGACAAAGGCATTTTCCTCGGCGCGGGGAATCTTGAAAAGCCAGACGACAATGGGAGGCTTTCGTCGCTCTCCCGTGGGTCAATTCTGCATCTCGCGCTGTAGTGAAAACGCTAAAAGTCAGTGGCTTCGTCTCTTTCTGAGAGAACGGTTAGCTAAAGCCGCTCACTCTTAGCATCTTCGCATCATTGTAAGATACAAGATTGTGACCTCCCCCCAGTATTCGAGAGTGGTTTCGAACGACCCGGCGGTCTGATTAAACGGACCTCTGCATTCCCACCCGGTTACAAGATCTCAGATTTCAGGAGTCAACGATTGGCATTCAAGACCTGAGGGAATACATCGGGAAACCTATTCAACGACGAGAGTCGTTCAAAGCGGTTGCGAAAGGTGAGGCGAGTCGCGGACAAAGGCAATTTCCGCGACGCGAGGAATCTAAAGAGCCAGACGACAATGGGTTTCCGTCGTTCTCCTGAATACCTGTAAAAATACTTAGCTACGGAACAATCGCTTCCACGTTGTTCCACGCTTTCTTCCCCCCACCCTCCCTACAACAATTTTCCAGGAGCATCCCACGTGCAGGATTCGAAAGCGGTCTGGAGCGACCGGAACGACCGGGCGGATCGTCGTACCTTGGCCAGGCTCTCGATCGGGAAGAACTGCGTGTGAGAGCTGTGGTGGTCCGGCTCGCTCCTGGAGACGACGGCGGCGGCGGCGGCGGTGGCGGCGGCCGTCGAGTTCGCGTTACCGGCGCCCGCCGTGGCCGCGGACTCCGCTTTCCTGTGCGCCGTGTTCCCGACGCGTGCCATCTGGTTGCCCATCCTGCGCTCGGCACCGCGACGTGGGACGGAGGGAGAGACTATACCGTGACCAGCGACCGCGCCAGCACCGTCCGCATAACAGCCGCAACAACAAACACGCACGGCACCATATGCATGCGCGACAGCCTCGGACGTTCCAACCTCGCCTCGGCCATCGACGCCGCGAGTGTGAGAGGCGCGGGGCAGAGCCCTCTCGCCGCTCCCGAGCGCGTCGATTCGCCGCGGGGGAGGGAATTTTAAATCCGACTATGGCCGGCATTCACGTCCTGCGTTTTCCGATACTCGCTGCCGGTACTGAAAATGTACAGTATACGTGACGTAAACTATAGATTTGCAGTACTGGCAAGTGAATATCGGAACACAACCATAGTCGATTCTTAACGGCACACGACACTATTTTTCCTACTGGACTGCTTACGAGAGCCAGTCAGGATGCAGAGTTGCTGCCGGCCCCTTTGATCTTTGATCTCCTGATCAATTTCTCTATCGACCTGAATAAAATAAAGGCTGCGATCAAGGCAAACGCTCCGAAGCGTTTCTCCTCCTTTTCTATCTTTACTGAAAGAAAAGAGAAGAAGAACGAGCACCTCGTAACATCTGAGGCAACAGCTTGACCGCGGCCAAAGAGATACAACAGATCTACGGACCCAGGTCGGAGAATTCGTGGAGTCAAAGGGGAATAACGAGAAGAAGCGAGGGCGAGCGACGACGCGCGTCATTTCGTATTTCGGCGCGGCGGCCGCGCGGCTGGGATCGACCCGGGGTATCGATATAGCGCGGCCGTCGATATCCGACTGGATGTAGTTCACATCCACTTTCTCAGGCGGCGCGTCAAGCGTTGGAAAAAGTGCTCGTCGAGGCTGGGATGGCCGCTCTGACACGAGATAGGCTCGCTGCATGATCTTGTCATTGCAAGATCGATGCTTGAAAGCTCGCAGCCTGATTGGCCGCTGTTTCACGTTTGAAAGTTGCAACCGTTACGAATCTAGTGAACGTTCAGTTGTTGGACGCGGAGAAAGCGTCGGTCGGGCGCGAGAATCCGCTCCGCGTTTCCGTCGATTTCGGCTCGCCGAGAGGGCGAGCCCCGTGTCCGGGGTGTCGTGAGTGAGTGGCGCGTTCGCAAGCTCGTTTGTGGCGCTCAAGCAGCCGCCGGGAGACGCGTGCCGGGAAATCTCGGTCGTCGTGAGTCAGCCATAGTCGCGAATCGGCCGCTCCGCGGCTACTCGGAAGTTCGGTTGTCGCGTCTCGCGTGCCTCAAACCGCCGAAAAAGTCGAGAGTGCACCGCGAACGGGAGTGTCGAGTGTCGCGAGCGTGTGTCTCGAGAGTGAATTTCATCCGTTGCGAGTGTTAAGTCGCCGATGCGGCTTGCAGAGTAAAATTGGTGATACTGTGTGTGATATCGTATACAATGCGATATATATGTGATAGTGCATATTCTATTGTGAAGTGTTAAGTGAGTTGTGACCAATTGGGATTACTTCGCGGGAGCAACTCAACAACCGATCCAACGAGGGACCACATGACGGAGTCACATGACGCCGGCGACGCCACCGTTACGCCCGGTCTACAATGAGTTGTTAGTCGTTAGTCAGAAGTCGGAACTATATGTCGGTCTTTTTTCTTCCACCCAGAAAGGAAAAGGATCAACATATACATAGTTGCGACTTCTGACTATAGATTAACGACTCATTGTAGAACGGGCCTTATCATCGATCGGTCATCGTGGGATCCGCCGTCGCAAGGTAAGTGCACCTTGTTGCAATACCGACGACGCGACAGTTATCTATTGCGGGTGGTTGCTCATAACCCCCTCGAGCGGCAATAGATGGCGTGCGGCAATAGGTTTCGTGCCGGGGCATAGGATATCGCGTTTAAACGAAATAGGATAGGGCATAGGATATCGCGTTTAAAGGAAATAATTCATTTTCGGGACTTGCGATCTTTTTGCACCAACCTTAGAGGTGATGCATCTCGTCGTCGAGAATAACTTTCGCGTTTCGGGTGACACGAGACTGCTAGATTTCGTACCCGGGCATAGGACATCGTGTCAGAACGA